CCCACTAACCCACCACTAAGTCAAACAACCAAAAATATGTATAGACCTTGCTAAATATCCTTTTAGAGAAAAAATTATTTCATTCAGACAGAAAAACACTTCCCTAGGGGGAAAACTGATCTAAGAATACTAAGAGTAGACTGACCCTTGAAGGTGATGAAGCTCAAATTCAGATCCTTTCTATCACAGAGATTAAAGGGAAGTGATACTAAATTGCTAGTGACTGTGATAAATCATTAGAAGTACATTTAAATTTTTTTCTGCAGGTAGCTTTGGTCAAAGAAAAATTGACCAAATTGATAGACAAAATAAGCAGTCAAGAAGGGGGTTTTTTAAAGCTATTACAGTAGGGGGGAGGAATTCAACTCAACTCTGCTGAGATGGAAGACTTTTATATATTGAAGTGAGCTGGTGAGAAAAAAACAGAGAATGTTGGGGGAATTTAGTTCATATAATTAGGCCATCTGTATTTGTTAACTAGTGCCTCTGAAAGTTAGCTTCCTATGCTTCCAAAGAATCTGGGAAATAAGGACACTGTCTTTCCTGATGGTTACATTTTAGCAGGATGGCTCCCATGTTCTTGTAAAAGAGATTCCTAGGTTGTAAAACTAGAAAGAGGCTGGGAGATTTATATTCAAAGGGACAGAGAAACAGAACTCGTAATTACAAGTTTCCAAAAATAAATGAAAAGTCAAGGGCCTGTAGACAGGAAAATGTTTGTATAAAGTTCAGTCCAGCTAAGAGAATTTTTTTTTTTTTTTTGAGACAGAGTCTCAAGTTGTCCCTCTGGGTAGAGTGCTATAGCATCACAGCTCACAACAACCTCAAACCCTTGGACTTAAGCAATTCGCTTGTCTCAGCCTCCCAAGTAGCTGAGACAACAGGCACCTGCCACAGCATCCAGCTGTTTTTTGGTTGTAGTTGTCATTGTTGTTTGGCAGGCCCCTGCTAGATTCGAATCCGCCAGCTCCAGTGTATGTGGCTGGCGCCCTAGCCACTTGAGCTACAGGCACCAAGCCTGCTAAGAGAATATTAAGATTAACATTATTCTAGTTTTCAGAGAATTACTACAGTATTTTTTTCAAGACAAAATTCAGCACTCAACAATAACAAAAAAATTGGACAAAGGAAGAGATAAGACAACCTGAAAAGAAATAAATAGAAATAGTAGGCAGTTGGTTAAATAAGTCAAGGGCACCAGAAAATTCAATATCAGATATAGACTTTATAGTAAGTGTGCTCAAATATTATTTTAAAAATTAGATTTAGGTTATACATCTAAAAATTAGATTTAGGTTTCTGGGTATATGTAGGGCATTAGTTCCAGGACCCCTGAATATACCAAAATCCATGTGTACACAAATCCTGTAGAACTACCTACCTGAAAGTTGACACTCTGTTTCTCATGGGTTTTATATACTGCAAATACTGTTTTTTCAATCCGGGTATACCAGGATCTAAGCAGTTAAAACCCACATTGTTCAAGGGTCAACTGTAGATATTTAAATATTAAATCATTTCTTAAATTTACCATGTTCTATGTTGTTTAAAATATGTATAACAATATAGTTTAATTGTATTTTGAATAATAACATGTTTTAAATGACCTGATAGAAATAAAATGCAAATATTAGAATTTGGGCTGAAATGGGGAAAGGCAGAAAATAGTAACTCTAGAACTAAAAGTCATTTTTTTTTTTGAGACAGAGTCTTGTTCTGTCACCCTGAGACAAGTACTGTCATGTCATCATAGCTCACAGCAACCTGAAACTCTTGGGCTCAAGCGATCCTCTTGCCTCGGTTTGTATATTTTTTGGTAGAGACAGGGTTTCACTCTTGCTCAGGCTGCTCTCAAGTTCAAGCAATCCACCTGCCTTGGCCCCCCAGAGTGTGAGTATTACAGGTGTCAGCTACTGCTAATTAAAATTGAGATCACTGGAGAAAGAGAAATCTTTTCTAGTCCAATAATGTGTTAATCAATTTTTATAATGTCATAAAACAACTAAGAACCTAAACAAGCAAACAAAACCAGCATAAACACCATGGTTAACGGTAAAATGTTGGAAACTTTCTCTTGGACACTGGGAGCCAGACAAGGTTTTCACCATTATACTTCTATTTAACATTGTTACTGTTGGTTTTGGAAAAAGCGATATGTTTTTAAGTTATAAAGATTTGAAAGAAAAAAAAAGTACACATTAGCCGTAAGTATGATTCTGTTTATAGAAAATCCAAGAAAATCTATAGACAAATTATCAGAATTAATAAATGAGCTTAGAAGGCGGCAAGATATAAATTCAGTATAAAAAATCAACCGTATTTCTGTTTATCAGAAACAACTGAAAGTAAAATTTTAAGAACATATTGTATTAGTTTTCAGTTTCTGCCATAAGAAATTACCACAAATTTAACAGCTCAAACCAGCACCCATTTATTATGTTTCCATGGCTCAGAAGTCCTGGCACAGTGTGACTCAGTCAGTCCTCCGCTTAGTGTCATACATAGTCAAAATCCAAGTTCATGCTCTTTTCTGGAGGCTCTGGAGACTCTGCTTCTCAGTTTATTCAGGTCATTGCCACAATCCGTTTATTTGAATGTAGTGCTGAGGTCTTCTTTCTTTGCTGACTTCTCAGGTTCTTAAGACCAACAGCATTCCTTATCATGCCATCTCCTCCACCTCCCAGGAATGGTGCATACAGTTCTTCTCATGTTTTAAATCTCTCTGACTTCTTTTGTTGCATTTAACTCCAGAAACAGAATTTTAAGGCTCATGTGATTAGATTGTGTCCACCCAAACAATCCAAGATAATCTCTCTATGTTTGTCTCTCTGAATGTTTATAACATTGATTACATGTGTAAATTTCCACATTTTCCAGGGTTGTGTATATCTTTGGGGGGAAGTTCTGCCTGCCACAGATGCCATTTATAGGTAATATGTGTAGGAATAAATTTAAATAGATAGATGTAAAAATGTCTACCTCAAATCTGTCAAACATTTATAGAAAGAAATTAAAGAAGACTTATATAAAGGAATGTTAAATCATGGGCAGGGATTAAAAACTCAATAAACATGTCAATTTCCTTCAATTTGCCACATTGATTTATTATAATCTCAATTAAATTCCTAGCATTTTTTTTGTGAAAATTGCAAAGATGATTCTGAAATTTAAATAAAAAAAAATTCAAGAATAACTGGAACATTTTAAAAACAGTAGCAAAATGGGAAAATGTACTTTACCAAATGTCACATTTTATTATCAAGTGACAATAATTAAGACAATGTAAGTTGGTAGAAGGATATACAAGCACATCAATGAAACAGAATATAAAGTCTAATAATTGACCATGCACATATGGAGACTTGATTTCTGACAATGGTGGTTTTATAGATCAGTGGACAGTCACCAAGACATTTGAGAAAAAGTAGAGTTTGATTCATCATTACATTGTACACACAAATTAATTCCAGGTGCATAATACATCCTAGTGTGAATGAACCATAAAACAAATGCTTCTAGAAAGAAAATACCAAAAGAGCATGATCTTTAAAAGATAAGGTATGACATTATAAAAATCAATTAACTAAATCACCTTAAAATTAGGGAGTTCTTTTTCTCAAGACACCATGAATAGAATGACAAGTCAAGCTGCAGATGGAAACTATAGTAACACGCATATTGATAAAGGGCTGTCTCTCTCTCCATTATATATATTACATATTTTAATACATGTATATATCTAAGATGTACACATCATGTATATATCTAATATGTATATATCTAATATGTACACATCATGTATCTACCCAACAGGTCAATAATACACTGAAGAGAAGAATGTGCAAGACTTGAAAAAACACAACACAAAAAAGTAATATCTAAGTTAATAATAAACAAATGAAAAGGTCCTCAACCTCAATAGAGGAAAGAAATTCAAAAAGTTAGAACTACAATTAGATGCCTTTATATACCCACCAAAATAACTATAAATACAAAGACTGAATTATCAAATTTTGGTAAAGTAGGTGAAACTATAAAAAACCATCTATTGCTAGTGGTCTTGTAAATTGATGTAAGCCATGTGGATTGAACATATTCACACCATAGGATGAAGGTATATGGTCAACAGAAATTAGTAGATACATATCCCCAAAGAAAGGTTTAAGAAAATCAATAATAGCAGCATTATTTAAAGTAGTAAAAAACAGGAAGTGACCCAAATGTTTATCAATCTTATCCATTCATACAAAGAAATACTATATAATAATGAAAAGTAATTAACTACAGCTGCACCTACTCACATGGATGAAACTCATCCACAAAGTTGACCATAAGTTTGAAATACTGGCTTATCAGAATACAGCTTTAGCATATACAGACTACTTTACATGCATTGAATTACATTTTATACTTAGCATAAAAATATTGAGAAATATGGGGGGGTAAGGCATTATCAGGATTTTCTTCAATGGTTAAGTCATTTCTTTTATAATTATTATTAAAAAATGTTGAGGTGATCTCTCCTAAGTGTACAGACCCAGAAGCAGCATGTAACTCTCTTCCCTTTTGTGGCCATCACTGAAAGGCAGCGGCCAAAATGAAGTTCAATCCCTTTATGACTTCTGACCAAAACAAGAAAAGATATTTCAATGCACCTTCCCACATTTGCAGTATGATTATGTTTTCCCCTGTTTCTAAAGAGCTGAGACAGAAGTATAATGTTCAATCCATGCCAATCCAAAAGGATGATGAAGTTCAGGTTGTCTGGAGGCATTGTAAAGGTCGGTAGATTGGTGTAGGGATCATAGTGAAATCTTCTTTTTTCCCTTGGTTGGTTCACTGAAAGACTAACTCACAATTATGGTAGATTGTAAAAGAAAGGTTTATTTCCAAATACTATACACTGGGAGGGAAACCATAAGAATGATTATTCAAAGTCCCAGTGATGAACAGAGACCTTTATAGATGCCTTTTGGAAGGAGGGGAGGGAGAATGTGGAAAGTATATGTGCAGCAAGTGTTTGCTAGGGGGGTTGTGTATAGATGGGTGGAAACAGATTTGTAGGTTAACCTGAGAGACAGGTCTCAGGCTTCAAATGACTTTGGGCCAGGTCTATTAGCATGTAATAAGAAAGTTAGCAGCCCCTTTTGATTCCCAATCAGGTTTCTCAGGTTTTATGTAGAAAGAAGAAAGACCTCTCTCTTCAAGTGCTTTCTGATCCATGAATGGCCTTTAATTCAAAATATTCTTCATACCAAGGAATCATATTTTGGTGTGAAATTTCCTTAGCTTCTACACTGGCAAAGTAGTCCAGGTTTACAGGAAGACATTCGTCATCTACATTGAGCAGGTACAGTGGGAAAAGGGTGATGGTGAGAGAGAATACCCAGGAAGGATGAGGTCTAGGAGAACAGAGGTCTTCTCAAGGAGACCCCAAGGATACACCTGCAGGGTCCTCCATGGTGACTCAGCTCTTAGGAACTTGTAGACTTAACTTCCTAGAACCTGGAAATTTCCACTTCTGTGAAATCCTGTAGTTCTGTGGGGGCTGAAACAGCTTCTCCCACTTGATTCAAACTGACCAATGAGAAAGGTATCTGTGGGTTGGAAAGTTTTTGACTGGAGATAAAAAAGGGAAAGACCAAGCCAATTGGGGAGTGAGGCCATTTTGAATTCTTGGATGCCATTTGCTCCACTGGCTGAAATAAAGCCCTTCCTCGTATAAACATGGTGTTTGGGAGCTCTTTCTCTCCATTGGGCCTCTTCTTCCTTCAACAATGGCACAACTGTCCACATGGGTATTCACCCCAGCAAGGTGGTTATTACTAGGCTTAAACTGGACAAAGACTGCAAATTGAACAGAGAGACAAATCTTGCTAAATAGGAAAGGAAAAGGGCAAGGACAAGGAAAAAACAATTGAGAAGATGCAGGAATAAAATAATCTTATATACAACTTTTGTTAAAAACTGCTAAAATAAAAAAAAATGTTGAGAGAATGGTGACTGCCTCATGTTCCATGCATGAACCTGAGAATGAGGAACTGAGGAAATCAAGAATTATAATCTGCACACATTCAGGCCCCCTGACTGAAAAACATAGCCAAGAAATATATTTAAAAATTAATTGTAAATTGAAAATTTTAATTGTATATATTTATGAGGTATAATATAAAGTTATAACATATGTATATAATATTGAATGATTAAATCAAGGTAATTAACATATCCATATAAATAAAACGTTACTGTTTTTCATAGTGAAAATATTTTAAATTTACTTAGTTATGTTAAAACATAATACATTATTAACTATAGCCACCAATAAATTATTTTTCATGTCCTTTGACCATGAGGTACTTGAAAAAAAGTGAAGTGGTTTTATTGGGCCACTAGATGGCACTGCAGCCTGTGTGTGTAGTACTTCAAGCCTAATACAGCTCTGGAAGCAAACCAATTTTTTATATGTGTAAATATTATTTTTAAATGATAAAAATATTACCTTTAGAAATTCTATATTTGTGTTTTTGAAAGAAAATGGTTTTTCTTAAAATTGAAATAACCATTATAGAAAATTTTGAAATTACAGAGAAACAGAGAAGAAAATAAATTTTGCTTATGTTCCTACTACTCAAGGAAAACCAGGGTGTTTGTTTTAGTAACTGTCCTTTCTTTCAGCATATGTAAATGCAAAACATGTTTTATGCATTGAATATTAAACAGGTTGCAATCATATCATACAGTTTTCAACTGGCAGCATTTTGAATTTTTCTCATATGCATGAATGTTCTTCATTATTTTTAACATTGGCATACCATTTCATCATGCAGGAGAATCATATTTAATATTTTAACTAAATCTTTGACCTTGGGCTTACTTTTTCACTACTAAAAATATCCCTTCAATAAACATTTTTGTGGTTATGTCTTACATGTACAAGATTGTTCCTTTAAAATCTTCTCTCGTTCTGAAAGTTGCTGCCTCAGATGAAAGGCGTGAATCACTGAACTATGGCCAAACTACTTTCCAAAGTTTAAACTACACTAATTTACATCTTTCTGGTCATATATTTATCAACATTTTCCCTAGGTAATCATTGTATTTTAATTTCAGTGATAGTATATTTTATGTATGGAAATTTTATTAAAATTATAAAAATTGAGAAGAACCTTTAAAAGGCCATATCTATATTAGCATTATACAGTTTTTGAATAGTTGAATACTGACTATATTATCTAACATTTCAATGGCATTTTATTCTTTCTGAAATAATATAGAATCCTTATAATTCTCTGAAAAAAGCATGTGAAGTATTCCTTTTCTAGAGGAAGAAATCAAAATTCTATTGGAAAATAATAAAACATACTTAACTGATATTTCTTTTCAGCACATTTTAATGGAATTATCCAAGGTGAATGGAGCCAACAGATTTCACATTTTGAAAATTAGCTAAAAGTTTGAATACAGGGACAGATAGTATAGTATACCTGTAGTATGCTTCCATAGTAACTTACATTGTTCCTATAGATACAGGATTCCTCCATTCTGTTGGCCAAGGTGAGCTCAGAAATCAGACCCCCCTTTTCAGGCACAGACAGGCTACCTTTTCTAGGCCACACCCTCTGGGCTTTAGCAAGACATTCATTTGTTAATACACTCATTAACTTTGAAAAGATGTTTTCCCACCTACCAGGTCCTGGCCAAAAATGGAATATATACCTCTAGGCAAAGGGCCCATGTGAGAGACTGCCAACTTAGGTCTACCCTTTTGTCAGAAGCTCTGGTGCTTTTTACTCCATCTGTATTCCCTTCTGTCTAATAAAAATCCTGTCTTATCACTGATCTGTGGTCCATGGGTTTATTCCTCCAACCCCCAAGACCAAGTACCTACTGAGGGAGAAATTCCAGTAACACTATCATGGCCTCATCATACTATGTTTTAAATATTTAGTTTATTGTTTGTTTTACATATAGAGTATAAATTCTGTAAGGCCAGTCACCAGGCCAAATTGCTCAGTATTTTAAGTCTAGCCCACCATAGTCATAAATGCTCAATAATCACTTGTGAAATAATTTTGACAAAATTATATTCAGGCCAGGCATGACAACTGTCGTCCCAGCCCTTTGAGCTCAGAAGTTTGAGAGAGATCCCATCTCTACCAAAAATAGAAAAAATTAAGCCGGGTGTGGTGATGCGTGCCTGGTGTCCCAGATACTAGGAGGCGGAGGCAGAAGCAGGAGTTTGAGGTTGCTGTGATCTAGACTGACACCCTGGCACTCTAGCCTGGGGCAACAGAGTGAGATTCTGCCTCAAAAATAAAACAATAATTTTGAAAAATAAACATAAATAAGGTATGTTATGTAGAAGTGATAGAAATGCTGCTTCATACCAATACTGGAAACTTGATGACATTGTGTTTCCATTTACAAGAATCATTGTCAACATTTAGTTGATTTCTGAAGTTTACTATGACTCAGGTATTGTGTTTGTTTTCATATACTACCTCCTTTAATTTCTAACTGATTTTAACTAAATTTTGAACTGATTCTAATATAATAGTGAGTCAGGCAGTCAGTGGCAGAGATGAAAATCAGGCCACCTGGTATTGATGACCCAACAGCTCCAATTTCCGCGTATATGTGTATACAGTACACGAATCACAAGACATTGTTTTCTGCCATGAGTTGGGAGTAGATTGTTATCATTGTTGGCAGAATATTACAGGTAGGAGGCCATTTGTTTCATTTTATAGCTGTGAGAACTGAGGACTACAGAAGTTAGGAAACATGTATTTTATTTTTCACTAAGCAGAACTAAAATCCAAATTCCTTTCCTATACACCATGCTGCTGATGATTTAAAAATACCATACATATCACACATTTCCAACTTCCAGACAAAGAGAATATTGCTAGATACATTTATAAGACAATTTTAAAGGTAATCAAGTTTGTTCCTGATTGAAATACTCCATGAAGATCATTTCTATTTAGTGAATCATTTTATGTAAATAACTAAAATGTATAGAGCACTTCAGCATTGCACAAGATGCTTTCAAAGAATAGGTTGTGATGACTAATTATTACTATCTGCTGTATGCAGGAAAGAGGATATGGAATGTACAAACCATGTTGTGAAACTAAGGTTTTACCATAGTTGGGATTTATTTTTAAAAAGGTCATAGCATTCTGTTTCTGCTTTCTAATATGGCATATAATTTTTGCTATATCTTAAGGAATGAACACTTCGTGGAAACCATTGTATTCATTCTACTTTTATTTTCAGACATAAAAATCAGCTTATAAATGTACCAAGTAAAAAATACAAATAGACACAATTATTGCACATAAAAATACTTAAAATGACATATTGCACATATTAGAGTTGATTAGGAAAGTTCCAAACTTACTATCAGATAAAACTAATATTCCAAGTTTGAACAATACAGAATATTTTCTGATAGAGATTTGCCACGTCACATATTGCACCTTTTTGAGCACTTTTTGTCTGTTTTACGAATATCCTTCATATTCTTTGCTTTTGTTTTTTCTCTATAAGACACTGTATAGAAGGTTTAAAAGGCAAAGAAATATGTACCATTGAAAAAGACCAGTCTACAATTCAGCATGTAAAAAAAAAAAAAAAAAGATCCTCTCATTTTGGGGGTAGGAAAAAAAAGACAAAGTAACTTGGCAAATTTTTCCAAAAAGAGAAAGATATTATACAAGTTTAGTTTCATAAACATTTATCCACTTATAAATGCTCCCTGTGTTTTAAAAATTCATTTTGACTGGATATCTATGTTAGCAGTCACAATTGCCCTTGTTTGCGTGCAGTTTTTAGTACCACTGAAGTCTAACTCCTTCATATAGTGCAAATGCTTGAATTGAAGGCTACTTATTGTTGGTAGTCATTCAACAATAAATAATAACTCTACATCTGGTTATTTTACCATTTCTGAATTTCAAAAATACATATAAAGTGCATCTGAAAGTTTTCATCCTTGTTCTTCTATTCTTGGGCCTGAATATTAGTCAATCTGCGATGTTTTTAGCTTGTGGCAGGAAGAGTCCACAATGCAAGTTTTCCTGGAATTCCTCTCCCTTTTTTCCACAGTCCTCTTTGAAGAAGATTTCCAAGATAATAACAAAGCTTTACCACAAAGTCTGTGTGGAAAACTTCTGACCACGGAGCATCATCCACTGATACAGATTTCCTTTAGTTCCGTGCCCTAGTAGTCTCTAAGTAAGTACATTTCCTCATTTTGGGGAGGGCTTGCTACATATCCAGTGTAATTCCTTTTCACAGTCTGTGCTGCTGACCTCTGTGCTGTTCAGAAAAGCACAGTTCTCAGATTTTGCAAAGTTGAACCTGCCAAACAAAAAAGAAACTTGGAATTACTTTCATGTCATGATTTCCATTCGGTTACATGAGAATAAACTTTGTGGTAGTGGTAACCTCTGTTTCTATTTTCTTAGTAGGAAGTAGAAGGCAAGTCTGCCAGTCAAATAACTGGAGACTAATCTGTAGATGATGGATAAGAATTCTTTAAACTTTAAAATACAGTTGAACTATGGGTAAGGAAAATCGAATCTGTATCTTTGATTCTGGAGCATATTTCTCTCAGGTCCATAGAAACTCATAATTAGGCATTGAAAATATTGCTTCTTATTTTCCTGGGGATGATAACTGAGAAAGGCTAGGAGGGAATTATTTTCAACAGCTATCTCATCAGTAAGACATAGATAGGACATTGGAAATGCTGGGTTTATTGCACTATCATAACTATTCCTAAAATATCTCCAAACTGAGTATTATTCACACAAGAATGTTCTGAGGGAAAAAAAAGTACTAGAAGCATTTATTGTATGATTTCTAAGTGGCTAAAGAAAAAAAGCTAATTTAAAAAGCCTGTCTTTAAAGAATTCCAAAGCATATAAGCATTCAAAATAGATTGTTAGGACTCTGCTCAGACCTAACAGTGCTTTGAAAGGAAAATTGTTTTCTTGGGGAGGAAAGAGAGACTTCTGGAGACCTACCAGTTGCTAAATTCTCTGCCATTTGACCATTTCCATGTCTGGTTAGCTTCATATCTCAGTCCAATCCAGTGTTCATTTCCACCAGCATATCGTTTTAGGAAGATCTTAAAGTAAGCACCAATGAGTTGTTAGGTTAAACAACCTTCTGGGTATGTATCATAATAATTCTTTTATCTCAAAAGCTGCAATCTGAGGCATGATAGCACATCTGAGTATTTTTCAGTTCTATATAAGACAAGCTCATTTGTATTTCTGGTCTGTGAAGCTAAGTCATCAAATCAAATTTAGAACACTGAATCAAACTCTCATTTTGATCTCAGACTGATGTGTTTCTCTGTCACTAAGTTTTCCTACACGTGAGGCAGGCACAGTGTTTTCACTTAGAAACAGAAGGAAACCACACAGGAGCTATCTAAAATAAAACAATAATATTTCATGAAACTGTTTTTGAATCTTACCATATCCTTTTCAGAATCGATGACAGCAAGAGTAGCACCATGTTTGTTACAAGCCATGTAGGCTGACATCCAGTTCTCTGTTTTAGCAGAAAAAAGGTAGCATTTGCCCTGGTAGCCAACCCAGTCAGCTGAGCACAAAGAAACAGGGCTGTCCAATGGCATTCCCAGCTCATATTGGCCTGGACAATTGTACTGGCCCACTGTCAACAGAAAAATAGTTTTGTTTTAGTAACAAAATAAACCAAATACTCATAGCATGAAAAACGGACGCAGTAATGCTGTGCTGTGCTTGATGGTGATAAGGTGAAGGTTGAAAGTCAACAAGGAGAATAGTCAGAAGAAGCTGTTCCCACCTTATCTGATATTTCATTGTGCCTAATCGTCATGGTACGGAATATGAAGATAATGGGGTGCCCCTTTGACCATAACATGAGAAAGTGACAGAAAAAATTTTAAAAGTCCTGAAAATTGTCTTTTCAACTAGAAAGAGTAAAGTGCATTATAAACTCCAAGGTTTTTAATCTGAATGCAGAGATGGAAAAACTTGAAGATATAGAATTTATGATTAACTAGGTGAAGCCAAAATTCATTTTAGTTAGGCATGAATACTTAAGGCTAGGAGGCTTTGAAACAATGTATGAAGTACAGACCCACCTGATAAGGCAATGAGAGTAATGACTAAAATGGTGATGAAGACCACGCTCATGACGGCACACGGGATAGGAACTCCCAGGGACCCTTCATGATGTGTTTGAAAATGGACACTGGGGGCATTATCTGTAAGGGAGAAAGTCCATGATGAATTCAGGCAAACTGCAAAAGTACGGTAGGGACATTTGTATAGAAAAATGTATTAATAATATGTTCTTTTGAGGTGTTTACACTTTAAAAAGTAGTGTGTTTCCCTATCTCCTTATATGAAATTTCTGTGTTAATTTTCCAGAAATTTTAAGTGAATTCAGATAGTTTCCTCTTGGCTAGAAGTGAAACCATTCAAACATAATACTAAGATCATAAAATATCTTCCCAATATAAGCACTTAGTACCTATATATATATACATACATATATACATGCACTTAGTTGTGAAAGTTCTATCATTTTATTGATTTAATCACCATAAGAGCATTTACTAAACACCCTATTACCCTAGAAGACACATAAAAAGAGCATCCTAGGCACAATCCCTTAACCTCTTTGTAGCTGCTATTTAGGAGAAATGTGAATGGGATAAAAGTGGATAATATAATAAAGTAAAATACTGAATAGAAATACAAATATCTAAAACTAAGACGGTTAAAAATGAAAAAGTAAAATAATTTTCCAAGTGCACTTGAAATAATAGAGGAAATACAACAATATTATCAAACAAACAACAGTCGAAGCTGATTCTTTTCATTTACCATTCTGTATAATGGTGAAACAAAGTAAAAGGATTTTTTTGACAAATAAGAAATATTTGTGTGGGAGGATTTAGAATAGAAACATGATGTCCACAATGACTTCCAGTTACAAAAAAAAAAAAAAAACTAGAAGAATATCTGTTATAGAATATAAGTAAATAATTGAGAAAAGAGAGAAGGGAATTTTGTGACTCCAATTTTAGATTTCATTTTTGCAGGATAAGCTATTAGGATTCTCAAAATGCAGCCCCACAAGAAGCATGGATGATTTTTGTAAATAAAAGGATGACTACATAAGACATATCTTGAAAGGTGTTCTTTTTTTCCCATGAGACATTTCTGTAAAGTTAAACTGCACAAAGACATGTTGGCTTTTTCATAGTAAAATCAGCGTCAAATTTTACTTCAACTGGGAGTTCTTTTTCCCAGCATGGATTTGCACTGAGATTTTGTAAAGGAAGACTTACTCCACTCCTCTAGTTCTATTTCTCTCAGTGTCTCAGAGCAAATACCCCTCTTCTCACTCCTGTACAGTTATCTCCGGAAGCAGCCTTTGGTAGGTAGGGCAGCCAGTTCGGAGCTCTGTCTAGTTTCACTTCTCACCATGTGACAGTCAATCATTCTGCTAAGATGCGATGTGACAATGGCTGTGGCTCCTCAGCAAGTTCTAACATGTCCAGATCACTCAGGCTCCAGAGCCTCCCCACACTACCAAGCCCCTTGCTCCTCATTCAGTGGGTAAGTTACCGAGATGACTATCAGATGTTACTTTATTCCACTTTGTGAAGTCTGTTACTAACAGTTTTATTTATCACCTAGGTGACAAAATATTTCCCCCAACAGTGAACTGTCACTCTGATTACAGGTCCTGTCAATCAAGGTAGAAATCGAAAATAAATCCACCTATCTACCACCTACCGAATCACCCAGGGGTGATGTCTGTCTTGTTCATACTAATGAATTAGACATTTAACAGAAGATTGGAAGGTCTTAGGAAAAGTTAAGCATCTCTGCTTAGGTTCTTCTTCTTTCAACTATGCTCTTTATTGAGTAGTTTTATTATTATCAGCCTTTTTTTTTTTTTTTGGCAGCTTAACGAGGCCATAAAATGAAGGCTCACCAGGTTATGTAATGCATGCCTTGCATTTGTTAATTCACATTTAATTTTATGTCCTTAAATAAAAAATGGATTTGTCAGAGATAACTGATATTTTTCTAAAGTAAACCAATGTAGTAGACACACAGAGAAAAATCTCTTCCTCAGCGATCGTTATGGCTCTGTTATTTCTAACACAGCCCTTTCTTGCTGGCTAGCTCTTGCTTACAAGTTAAACTTTAATTCCAAAGTGCCAGTGCTTTAAGGTACCTCACTAATTAAAATGGAAGAAGAACAAATGAAAAAAAATTAAGAAAACTTTCCAGAAACATGGTATAGAAAAACAACAGGGAAAATGGGAATGGGAAATTAGAATAGATATGTGGATAAAATAAACAAATAGAAGAGAGAAAAATTTATAACCTGATCATATTTTGGTGGAAAGCAAAGAAAAGGAAGAAAAATGTTTGGCCCAAGTAAAATGTGAAACCAGAAATTGGAAAGGTAAAAGAGAAAGGTGAAGTGGAGAAAATGAGTCCCATAAAGATACTAAAGCAGATAGTACGTTCAAGAAATTTTTTGTGACATTCTTCTAATAAATTACCATTGAACACTGAACTGTCAATGTCAAGTTGCTTATATAGCTAGTGTCTCAAAGACTGGAAACCTGCACATTTCTACTGGAGGATGCTGTCGTGAGAACACAAGATGAGGTAAGCAGAAAGCAGACCAAAAAGACCAGGAAAGGCCATATTACACATGCAAAATTGCTTATGTGGAATTTTTCATAAAGAGAAGCAACACTTTCTGGAGTATGTACAGGTAGACATGGAAAAATGATAGAGGACAACTGGGCTAGGATAGAAAATTGCCTAGTTAAATCTAAAACTTGAAATGATGTAAAATAAAATAAAGAAAAAGATTGTTAAAAATCTGAAATTGCCTTTGTAGCTTCCTGTCATCTCAAGTATCCTATTTTCTTATCAATAAAGAGGTATTTACCTCTTCCCTTAACCTATCCAACGTCTCTAAACAACAAACTCTCATTTTCTTCCCTAACTATCGTTATGTATCATACAGAGAGAGATTAACAGTATATCTTCTCCAACTACCAATATGTGTCATATAGAGAGATAAAACACATCAGATCTAACTTACCGTTTTGTCCTCTCTCCAGATGCACAGAGCTGCTGTTCTCGGTTACGAAACCATTTTCAGAATTCATCTTAATTGTCAAGATTCCCTGGTTAGGGAATTCTTGAGACAAGATTCTCAAGTCAAATCAGTCTACAGCGAAAGTCTTTGCTGGAGCTCCTGTTCAGTCTCTGGTCTCTGAGGCATCTCAGCGTTTATATTCCGTTATGGTGTCCCCACCCCCTTCCTTTTACCTCCTACTTGCTCAACTCTGTCAGTTCTCTTTAATTTATGCTCCACTGGCCCAGACAATGCACTGTGTGTTGTGGCGATATATGGGTTTTCCCTGCTGTCTGAAATGTCCCTTCTCACCGCTGTAGGTGTAGCATGAAGAGGCAAGTGGGACTTCCCCAGAATCATCTGTCCTAAAGTTTTTTAAAAACATAAATAGTTTAAAAGAGAGTATCTAAGTAAAGAGAATTAAAAGTTAAGGATTCCTATCTTTGAGATGAGAATAATTTGAAAGTATGTAACATTTTTTTTCTGCAATCCCAGCTGCTCATTTATTCTTAAATTTATTGACCACCAGCTATGTGCCTGACACTGTTTGGGGCCAGAGAATTTATTGTTGAATAAGAATTTTGGGATTTCTGTTCTCATGGATCTCTTTCCAGCCTGGAAGGAATTTGCTTATGAAGCTATGAATTGACTTTTAGAAGTATGTTATTCACTTCGTCCCTGGGCACTAGTTCTTTTAAGGTACCATCTAGTAAGTAATTGCTTTAATCCAGGAAATAGAAAGTTTGTGGTCTGGAACTTCCTCGCTCTGTTCTAAAATTATTTATTTTAAATCACCTGTTTTATTTATTTCCTGCTAATTTTCTTATCTGATTTTTCTGTCATTTAGACTGCTTTTATTTCACCTCAGTAACATCTTCTATTTTTCCCTGATTCTCTAGGTTCTGCTGTTCAGATGCCTCTGAGGCTTCAGACATTTGGAGTCGATTACTCTAGAAAATATATTGCCATGGTATCAACCTCATCCAAGTAAGTTATTATGGTCCAGACAAAATAAATACATAATGCTTATGTACGGTGATTTAAGGGGGGGATCAAAATGCCACTCTGGTTAATAATTCTGGTGCCAAACATTTTATCATTAATATCACTTCTTTAAAGTAAAATCATTTTGTTTTCAGAATAAAGCCTTGGCGATGGTGATGATATGCTTGAGGTGGTTGGAAATTGTCATCTATAGAAGTTAGTTGGATCATGAGATGAATTCTTAGATAACACATGAAGAGATACATATCGTTCCTAAAGGCTCTCTTCACTTTCAGTCTATTGTTCAATTTTCTTGGTACTTTTTTCACATATCAGCTTGTCTTATAATTAAGTCACATCACTCTGATGAGACGTTCAAGTCTTCCTCCCTCAACCTCAAGGCTTCCTATCAAAAGTACAATAGAACTCAAAGACCTTCTTCGAGTTGGGAAGACTCTATGTAATAAAGTGGTCTCTGGCTACTTCTCCTACTGTTATTCCTATTAGTCTCTGCCCTCTCTGACAGTAATTTCTTTGCTGTTCCACAATAATGCCGAGCACACTGCCACTACAGGGCCTTTACATTTTCTCTAAAAGGTTCTCCCTCCGTTTACCTGCACATCTAGTTCTCCATTTAATTTAATTCACATGGTTCAACTGTCACCTACTCAGAGAGATTTTTACCTGCCATTATATGTAAAATAGAACTTCACCTCCTATGCCTGTGCGTGCCTTTATCTGTCATTATATGGCTATCAATATCTGATATCATGTCATTGTTTATTATCTGCTTCCATTATTACACTGTTAGCTGCTTGGGGGCAAGGACTTTGACCTGTCCCTTCTGTCTCTAACTCCTGCCATAAGTAACAGGGACCTAGTGCATATCCAATGTATACTCATTGAATGAGTGAACAAGTAATAAAAAATATGTCTAAAATTTTAAAGTTCCAAAGTATAAGGTGATATTTGTGATGGTTTTTCGGATTGTATGGTTGAGAAATATACGACTACAGACAGCCACTGGATAGCAAGTATACACTTGAATGCTGCTGATGAATGACTAACGTTAAGGTTGATATTCAGAGGAATAGTAGAA